GAGCCATCTCACCAGCCCCTAGATTTAATTTTTCTTAAAATAGTATGACTACAAAAATATTTGGTAAATAAATCAAATACATAAAAGGTTAAGATGATGATGATGATGATGACGATGATGATGATGATGAAGATGATGAAGATGATTTTCCCAGGGATCAAACTCAGGGCTGTGCTTGCCAGGCAGGTGCTTATGCCACTGAGCTATCTCCCCAGATAAGCTCATTAATATATTTGAATACTGATGCTTCTAATATTTCTCATTAAAGAAAACACTGAAACTACAGTGAAAACTGATTTCTCATGCTGAATTATATCTCACACAAAGGATGCATTTAATATAGCTTTTTGTATTAAAATCTACTTAATGTTAAAAGTTTCCTAGAGCAAACTTATAATAGTGGTATATTTGAATAGTAATCTGAAACACACTAATACAAAGCCCTTTAAAATGAATGATGGTTTTCAGTTGAAACTGTAAAACTCAGCTACAGGATGCAGATCTATCATAAGTAATAATATTTCATTTTTATATGTAATATTTGAAAGAGTTTAAGTCTATCATCATGCAGATTATATTTGAAAAGTAAATTTTATTAACTCTCACCCAACTGTAGTAAGCACAGTTAGAGTGTGATTTATCATATTTCAACAATGATCATCCAATAATTTATTGGACACTGATAGGCATAAGGTTAAATCCTGATTTTTTTTTATTTGTGTTAAAATTTGAAAATGTAGGTTTAGTAAATACAGAGAGGACCGTATATTTTGAAAAGAAAGCCAGATCAATGGAAGGTTTCCAAACAACCAAATTAAAGAGAAAAGCATGATGCAGAGACTGTTGCAACACTGATAATACAGCATAGCCATATAGACCATATTAAATGATCATTCTACTTATATGTGAAAAATTATGCCAAATGGATATTTTGCTAGTTTCTTACATTTCAAAATATGAATACAGCGTTTAATCAATTCTTTCAACATGCTAATTTATTATGAAAATGAAATAAAACATAATTTTTCTAATGTTCTGACTAGGTGTCTAGTCCATGATATTTAACCTTTGTTTGAATTGACTGAAATTTTATTCCATAAGGATGCAGAATGGTTTATTGTTCTTACTATTTTTACCAAAAAATTCTCTACAGTTTTCTTGGGATTATTTAAGAGCAGATAATTCCATGAGTCTGTTTAATTTGTAAAACCTTTCAAACATTCCATGAAAAATACAATGGAAATGTAATGATGTAAACTAAAAACACTTAAAAACTTTCAAAGGATCATAAATGTAATTCAGGTACTACAAATTATAAGGATGTGCAGCCAAGTCCCTCACATCTCACCTTAAAATATGCAAAAATCCTTAGGCTGCCAACCTGTAAGCACCAGGAGACACCTTACACAAGCCACCCAGGCTTTAACCACATCCTCCACTCCCTTCCCTGCCTGCCTGCAAAGTTAAGCAGCAGTCTAGCTCTGTCGGGGGTTTGGCACCAGGTACTTTTCTGATCTGTTCCCTTTTCACCTTGGGTAAGGATGAAAGGTCAGTGGCACCTGCCAGGGAGTGACAGACACGGTTAAGATGTCCAGGTCTCTGTTCTAGCCCCACAGTGTACATTGCCTGCCTACCTTGACTGGGTGCAGGTAGCCGTCTCCACGCAAAGTGCCCAGACTCGGGTCTGCTGCCACCTCGGCGTCGTCCTGCAGGCTGCGGGTAAGATGCGCGATGTAGGTGGTGGCCAGCAGCAGCACGTCCAGCTTGGACAGCTTGGTGTCGGGTGGCACCGACGGCAGCGTGCGCTGCAGCTCGAGGAAGGCGTGCCGCAGAGTCTGCACGCGGCTCCGCTCCCGCGCCGCGTTCGCTGCAGCGGGCCGCCCACCCCCGGAGCGTGCTCCGACCCCGAGGCCCGGCGGCTCGGGGCGCCCTGGGCTCTGGGCTCGGGAGCTGGAGGCCGGGGGCGCGGGCTCCGCGCTGGCGCTCAGCGGGCTGCTCGCTGGACCGCCGCGGTCCATGGTAGCGTCCAGCGCTGCGCACGCTGCAAAGGACCGAAGGCGTGATGAGGGCCGGCGCGGCCGGGGCTGAACTCGAGGGGCGCAGCCCTAGCGTTCACGCTGCCCGAGGGACCCGCGTTCGTTTCGCCTGGGGAGTGTCTGGCCTTCCCGGGCTCGGGGCGGGCATTCGGGACAGAGAGTTTCTGAGCTCCTCGGAATGAGGAGGGGCGCGGTGGAGTTCTCATAAATTAGGCGCAAGGGTCACCCGGCCACGGAACAAGGATTTCGGGGGCACACCCCGAACTGGGCGTCGTTTGGAAGTCGGGAAGGTTGCCCCTCCAGCCCCGCGGAGAAAGGGGAGCAGGTCATTGTCAGGGACGGCGAAGCGAGGTGGCGCGGGCCGCCCTCGGTCATTCGCACTCCGAAGAGCGGAGGACCTCAGGCCTCCCTGGGACCACGACAGCCGCCACCGCTCTGACCGGGAACGGCGCGGCGCGGGTCGGTTCAGGATTCTCACCTTTCCTGGAGCAGCGGTGCGGGGATCGGCTGCACCGTGCGAGTGGGCAAGGGGCGTCGCACCCGGTCGGCGAGGCCAGGGCAGTGCTGGTCACCGAGGGCTGCCTCCAACCCGTGGCGGGTCTCGCCTTTTCTGGAGGCGTCCCGGAGGCCACGCCTGGGTGTTCTGGTCCACGAATGCACGTCGGGCGCAGGTCAGAGCCCAGTACCCGGGCTACACTGAGGGAGGCGGCTGTGCAGAGCGGTCCCCTCGGCAGAGCTAGAGTCATTAATCAAACCGTCTGGGGGCGGGGCCAAGACGGGGCGGGGCCAAGACGGGGCGGGGCCAGGTCGGCTTCCACTGGCCGGACTGGCGCTGCGCCCAGGTCTCCCCCGCGCAGCGAGCGGCTCCTCAGGCGCCCGCGGCGTCGGTGCGGCGGGGGCCAGGGCCGGAGCTCGAGGCCCAGCCGTGGGAGTCCCCGCTCCTCCCGCGGCCCTGGCCCCAGCGCCCACTCTGACTCCAGGTGCCTTCCGGGGCGCCGGGCTGAGGCGGGAACGCTGCCGTTTGCTTCGGCGTGGCACTCAACTTTCTGTGAGGGAGTGTGCCGCGTCCCGAGCGCTGGCCTCTTGTCCACCCACCACAGGTAAACATTTCCCGCTGTCGCGCTGACGTCCAGCCCCGGCCTCTCGCCGCGGTACTCCGGGAGCTGTTCCGGGAGCGCTCGCAGACCTCGAGGGCGCGGGCCCGGCCGGCGGCTTCCGTTGCCCCGCGGGCGTCAGGCGTCAGGTTTTCGCGTCCTGGTTCGGGCGTGAGGGTCCCTCCCGGAGCGCACCTGTGGGCCGCAGCGAGTGCCGAAGGCCGCCACCGGGAAGCCTCGCGCGGCGCTGCACCCCGCGCCGGGGCGGCGGCCCGGCAGGGACTTCGCGAGTGAAGTTCGGTGGACTCCCAGAACTTTCTAGCAACACAGTTAGGACAAACTTGAAACGACAAAAACGGGGCATTTTGTTCTCTTTCGAATCAAAACGGAATTTCAAATTCAAAATATCACGGAAAGCTGCGAACGTTGGCTGACGCCTGTAATCCCAGCTACTAGGAACTGAAGCAGGAGGAACATAAATTCTAGGCTAGCCTGGGCAATTTAGGGACACTCGGTCTTACAATTTAAAATAAAGGGCTAGTGATGTAGTTCTTAGTACAACACTTGCCTAACACATGCGAAATCCTGCGTTAAATTCTCGGTACTGGGGTAAGAAAAGTCAGTGCCCTCGTATATGTTGCTGAATATTTTCCATTAGTTTTCTAACTTTCCAAAAAGGTATTACCAAACAATATGCAGTAAGCACTTGTTTCAGGTGTATGTTCCCGTGCACACAGTAGGTATTTTAGTGAAACAGAGTGATCATCAGGCTTGAATCTCAGTACTCATATAGTACTTGTAGTTAGATTTACATTTTAGAAAGAAGCACAGCCAAAATCCGTTGATTCAAAAGTACTTCTATTGAATAAGAAAACAGAACTTTATTTTCCCAATAAGTAGTACACACTGAGTAGTAAGATCCTTGACCTCACACGTGGAAACCAAAGTTTCCGCTTCTAAAAAGATCAAATAAGAATTTAAAGTACATATTGATACCAGAACACCACAAACGCTCAAAAGATGTCTAGTTCTATGAAGTTTTAAAAAATCAGATCATGTGAGGCTGAATTTACTCATTTTCCATACGTACTTGGTGAGGTTAATGTATGTCTTTTTGTTGTTAGAAAGCTTTCAGATCCCTTCAAAAAAGAGATGCCCATTTTTGAAGGAGGGAGGGAGGGAGGGAGGGAGGGAGAGAGAGAGAGAGAGAGAGAGAGAGAGAGAGAGAGAGAGAGAGACCCAGTGTTTAATTGCTTTAAAAATGAAGTAAACAAGGTGCTTCACTGCCAAAAAAGCAAGAAGACTTTCTTTTGCTAATGGTGACTAGACAGTGGTTGTGTTGCCCAGCAGTTAGGTAATAGTGAAAGGACCAATGTTAACAGTCCCAACTATGTGTGTCACTCCACTGACCTACCTTTTGCCATTCCAAGCAGCCTCTCTGAAGCCTCTGATCATTTTTTGGACTTTTATTAATAAATGTATACAGTACCTAATGGTTGTATTCACTGTAGATAATACATTTCAGTTTCTTTCTTCCCTCTTCTTTCATCCCCCTTTTTATTTTTCTAGCATCAGACTTGTTTATTTCCCTATAAAGTTAATTATCATATATACTGATTGAAAAACCAGACTAATAGGCCAAAAAACATGTATAACATGTAAGAAAATTGTATTAATTCAAGGTTCACTTTTAGATACATTATCTGCACTGGATTATAATACCTTTTTTTCTTTTTCCTATTATCTGTCTTTTATTTAATACTTTATTGATTATTTTAATATAAGAGAAATGCACATTATTTAATCTTGTGTGTCTGAATTACTTATCATGGTCTCAAGGTGTGTCCATTGTCCTACAAATGACTGGTTTATCATTTTTTAGAGCAGAGTAGTACTCCCTTGTATGTATGTAGTTACCACGTTTTTTTATCCATTTATCTGCTAATGGACATATAGGGCCGACCAGATAGCCCAGCAGACTAAAGCACCTGCTTAGGCAGAGCATAGTGGCCAGGGTTTGATCCCTCTTGTGCCGTACTGGCCTGCTCCCAGGGCATGCTGAGATAAGGGTTGAAACTGGGGGTGGTGGCACAAGCCTGCAATCCCAATGCTTGGGAGGCTGAAAACAGGAGAATCACTACAAGTCTGATCTACATAGTGAGACCCTGTAGACCCTGTATTAAATACATAAAAAAAATAGTATGGACATATAAACTATTTCCAGGATTAGGCTGTTAGGAATTGCACTGCTATAAACATGGGTATGCATACATCACTGTTTTATGATGTTTTTAACTCTTTTTGGAAAAAAACTGAAAAGGAGAATAGCTGAGTCACATAGAATTTCTACTTTTAATTTTTTATGGAGTCTTCATACTGGTTTACATATTTGTTGTATCAGTTTACAGTCCTACTAACAATTGAGAAGTGTGTGACTGTGGAACGGATTTGTGGTGCAATGCTAAGATCAAGGCCTTAATGCTATGATTAAGGCCTGAGTCATACTCACCCTGTGTATCTTGGATAAGGGCTGTGGTTGTTCCTTAGCTGCTTTTCTAACTTCTGCGCATCACAAACTGTTTCTCTTCTGCAATGCTTATCTGCCATGCCACTTTACCTTGGAGCTAGCTGATTATGAACTGAAACCTCTACAAACCATGAGCAAGAAGGAAAGTAACTAAGACAAGTCCTGATTCTGACTCAATATTTACAGGTAAATTCAAATCCTGAGATTTCTATTACTATATAATTAGTAAAAAGTGTCATGTGTTAGATACTTTATATGTAGTAAGTGCTTTGAAGGTATTTTCTCATCTGTCTTTACAAAAACTCTGAAGATTTTAAATTTTACAGTAGATAAAGTAGAGCTCAAGGGCCGGCCAAATAGCTCAGCCAATTAAAGTGCCTGCAAGCAGTGACAGAGCCCAAGGGCCTGCTGAGCCGGCCCCACCCCCCCAGGGCGTGCTGAGATGGCCCTTGAGACCGGGTGTGGTGACATGCACCTGTAATCCCAGCTCTTGGCAGGCTGTAAACAGGTGGATCACTACAAGTCCAATCTAGTAGTGAGACCCTGAACACCCTGTAGACCCTTCCCTAAAAAAAAAAGAAAAGAAAAAGTAGAGCTCTGATCAGGTACTTGTCCAAGGTCACATAGCTTTTGAGTGGCTGAGAATTTTTATATTTATTTATTTATTTATTTATTTATTCATTTATTTATTTTTGGCTGGATCAGCCCACCCTGAGGGAGGGTTTTGCATGGCATGTGGTGCTGGGGATTGAACCATGGTCCCCTGCGCTTGCCTAAATTTGCCGAAGCAAGCATTTTAGACCACTGAACTATCTCACCAGCCCTGAAAATTTTTAAATAGAGCACCTTAACACTTGTGCTTATTGCTATAATGCTTAAAATTTGTATTTTAAACTTGCAAAACATTTTTATATCTATTATGTTTTTGCATTTATTTAAATGCATACTTCAAATAATTTTAATTTTTACTAGTCCAAATATTACCTCATGGTGTCTTTCTTTGGAATTTTCATTGTCTAGTTTTCCAACATGGCTTTAGAGTATATTAGATTTTCTTTCATTGAGTGATGTTTTGGTCCTAAGAGTTATTCTTTAGTAATTTTTCCTAAATGAGTCAGGTTGTAATGTTAAATTGGTAAGATTTTCTTTTACAATTCAAAATATGTCACATAGGGGTCAGTGAGATATCTCAGTGGGTTAAAACACCTGCTTAGGCAAGCTTAGGCAAACGAAGGAACTGTGGTTCGATCCCCAGCAACACATACTGTGCCATCCCTGCCCCTAGGATGGGCTGAGCCAGCCACAGAGTCTAGGCATAGTGGCACATGACTGTAATCCTAGCACTGGGAGGCTGAAAAATGGGAGGATTACTATGAGTTCGAGCTGCATAGTGAGACCCTGCAACAACCAAATATACTAAAAAAAGAATTAAAAAGTTACATATCACGTATCAGTGTAAAATACTGTTTTATATAAAACATTTTATAAATTTTATGTGCATATAGAACAATAGATTGATTGGTACTTTTCCTTATCTTCAACTATTTCCCTCATGTTTAAGATGTACTTTGTGTAGTTAAACTTAAGCTTTTAAGTATGTAGTTCAAAAAGTTTAGATAAACATACATAGTATTATAACTACCACCACAATAAGGATACAGAACATTTCCATCATTCTCCAGCTTCTCTTTTACCATGACACTTTGTAGTCAACTCTTTGGCCCACCCCCAGTTCCTGGCGACTATTAATCTGTTTTCTGTCAGTGTGGTTTTGCCTTTGTCAGAATGTTATACAAAAAGAAGTATATACTGTGTAGCATTTTGAGTCTGGCTTCTTTCACTTAGTGTAATACTTCTGAGACCGATTCATGTTAAGCATATCAGTAGTGCATTCCTTTTCTTTACTGAATAGCATTCTGTTCCATTTCCCAGTTGAGATGCATTTGGGTTGTCTTCAGTTTTGGGTCATTATAAATGAACCACTATAAATATTTAGCTATAGGTTATTGAGTATAGTTTTTTATTTCACTTGGGGAAATACCTACCTAGATGCTTTATGTGGTAACTGTATGTTTAACTTTGTAAGAATATGTCAAA